GTTTATTTCTGCATCTCCAACAGGGAGTCTGGACACAGACAGAACATCATACTCTACCTCCAAATCAGGAGGTAGAGTCGCCCCCCTCAGAATGTCCCTTCCTGGCTCTATCCCTCCCAAAGGTGACCAGTCTGACACTCAATGCCATGGATCGTTTTTGCTTATTTCTGTACTTTTTATGGGAATAGAATCCTACAGGAAGGACATTTTGGGTGTATACTGACTTCTTTTGCTCAACATCAGGTCTGTGAGATTTATCTGCGTTGTGTAGAGCAATATGTTCATTTGTACTCATTGCCATATCCCGGTATTCTACTTTGTGACTTTACCACAGCTTCTATATCCATTCTACCCTGGAGAGCCGTTTGGGCTCATACAAGTTTGGGGCTATTAACAACAGCGCAGTTATAAACATTCTTGCAGGGGCACCTGCGTGGCTCAGTCCCTTAAGCCTCTGCCTTCAGTTCAGGTCATGATCCCAGGGTGCTGGGATCGAGCCCCGCGTCGGGGGGGGGGGGTCCCTGCTCCATGGGGAGTCTGCTTCTCCTTCTCCCTCTCCTTCTGCAGCTCCCCTGCTTGTGCTCTCACTCTCGCTCTCAAATAAATAAATAAAAATCTTAAAAAAAAAGAAACATTCTTGCACTAAAAAAGAAGAAGTGAAAGACAAGAGAAACATTCTTGCACGTATCGTGGTAAACATAAGTTGTTGCAGTGGTGTTCATACCCAGGAGCGGAATTGCTACATCCTAAGTTATGCACATGGTCAGTGTCAGTGGGATACTGCCAGTTTGCAAACAGTTTTATCAACTTCTATTCCCCCAAATGTCTATGAAAGTTTCAGCTGCTCTGTTGTCATCAACACTTGATCTTGTCAGACCCTTTCATTGTAGCCTTTCTGCTTGGGTGTCTTTGTCAATTTACACTTCACATTCTTCTTATTCCTTATAGGCTCTAAGTGTTACTGTTTTCCTGGATTTAATTATAGTAATTATTAATAGTACATAACTGATCAAAACAACACTTGTGCCTCCTCCCTACCCCCACCCTTGCTTCAAGAACACTCCTTTAGACCACTCACTATTGTACTGAAAACAATGGGTAGTGGAAGGGGGCCCTTGGAGTGAGGTCTTTGCTTTGTTATTCGGTCTCTGATGCCTTTCCCAATACTCTGCACACAGTAGGTGCAAAATATTATATAAAGACATGAAAGTATGATATGAAAGCCTATTTGTCTGCACCACACTTTGTGAGCCATTCCCAACCACTGGAGGGTAAGCAGGCGTCTTACTCATTTTAGGCCTTAGACCTGGCACTGGAGAATCTTTTATTTTTTTATTTTTAAGTAATCTCTACACCCAACATGGGGCTCAAACCCACAACCCTGAGATCAAGAGTTGCACACTCCACCGACTGAGCCAGCCAGGTGCCCCATGGAGAATCCTTTAATAAATAACGTTTACTACACCAATCTGGCCTCAGGAGGCCTGGCATTTTAGTTTGTGCCCCCTGCCTTGCCCCACACAGCTTCAGGCCATTCGCGCGCGCGTGCGCACACACACACACACACACACACACATGATGATGATAGTCCTATTGTTACAACATCCGTGAGACCGTTAGTTATAACATTGCACATTATTACACTATCACAACATGAGGCAGATCTTGGCACACCGGGCAGGAACGTGTTGATGTGAAATCTCATTTTAAATGGGGTCCCCGCTCCAGACATGCAATCAGCTGTGGGTCACGAGCAAGCGTAGAAAACATCTAGGTCTGGGGCTCAGGGCTCAGAGCTTTCCCTTGCATTGTCTCCTCTGGTCCTTGCTCCCTCCGGGTCTTGCAGACTAGCTATACATTGGGTCAGAACGATGCCCCTTGCATAGGGTTGAGGACTGAGCGAGTTGATCTGTGTAAAGCGCTTAGTCCAGTGCCTGGCACACAGCAAGGTATGGGGTAAGCAGCAGCCCTGTGTGTTAGTGTCATTGTCACTGGCTGCTGCAGGAGTGTGGAATGCTGGGGGACGGTGCCCAACACCAGGTGCAAGCCTCATGGCCCTAGGCTACAGGGAAGAAAGCAGAAAGGTGAGCAGAGGGGGGAACATGTGGTTTTCATCCATAGTCACTTCTAGCACAGATTAGACCAGGAATGCCCAACATTGCTTTCCCTGGGGGGAGGTGGGGGCAATTCGTGGAAAGCAAGTGACCTCAAGGCCTAAATGACTCCATTCCTAGGAGACGCCTAGAAGAGCAAGAGACGGGCTGTGGAACTTGAATCTGGCCCAGATAGGTCATTTCTGCCTGCTGGAAGGGCTCTGTCAGAGCCTGGGGGAGCCCCCCGATGCAACAGGCGAGCTGCCACCGGACACACCCAAATGTCGCCTCTCTGGGACAGGAGCAGTGGCCAGGGCCCTCCAAGGAGCTTGTCAATGGAGGCACCCCCTTTGGTCTCCTCTTACTAAGACAGGGACCCAATGCTGCTCACTCTTTGAACTGGTTCAAATGGGATTTCACCCACAGAGGCCAAGCAACAAAGAAGGGAATGCTAATGCTGCCTTGGGAGGAAATAGAGGGCCTTTATAAAAAAAATTCTCCCAGCCAAGTGTGCCCCTTGGCTTTCTGAACCCCTCAGTCTCTGAGTTACAAAAGGAACCTGTACAGAAAGAGGGGAATCGGGCAGGGATGAACAAGACTGGCCATGAGTCCATAATTATTGAAGCTGGGTGATGGGCACGGGACAGGGGGGGTTCTCATTCTATTTTCTCCTTTTTTTTTTTTTTAAAGATTTTTTTTTTTTTTTAATTTGACAGAAGGAGACACAGCAAGAGAGGGAACACAACAGGGGGAGTGGGAGAGGGAGAAGCAGGAGAGGGAGAAGCAGGCTTCCCGCAGAGCAGGGAGCCCTATGCGGGGCTCGATCCCAGGAGCCTGGGATCATGACCTGAGCCGAAGGCAGACGCTTAACGACTGAGCCACCCAGGTGCCCCGTCTATTTTCTCTTATATATATTTCTTACATACATTTTCTTATATTCTATTTTTGTATTTGAAAGTTTTCCATATTAATGTTTCTTGAAAGAAGGTATGAATAATCCAAAGCCTGGCAGGGTAAGGGGCGTCTTCTTGATCTCTGACCAGAAATTCTCCCTAAGTCCGATGAAATCTGAGAGTATCCAACAAGGAAAATAAGGTGAGGGTACAGCATTGGTCTGGCTTCGGTAGGTCATCAAACAAGGTCTGTGTTTCCCAGAGGGAGAGAAGCCATGGTGGCTCTTGGGTTTTGAGGAAAACGTTTCAGCAGGAGAGAGAAGGTGGAGGGGAACTGATAAGCATACTTTGACTGCTGGTGAGTCTGCCCCAACCGATTGGGATGGCACTGGGCCTCTGGCCCCACCCCAGCCTTTACCCGGAAGTGAGGTGTGCTCTCCTAAGCCTCCAAGGATAGGTGGCTGGGCCCCACACTGGGGGCAGATGTCCTCTCCCCCTTCCTCGGGTTCCGCCCTCCACATGGTCCAGGCCATGGTGATGAAGAGTAACCTGTCTGCGTCACCCTCCTACACTCCCTCCTGCAGTTGAAAGCCACACTCCAAACCCAGGATTCCTGAGATCAGACACATCAACTATCCCAAGCCATCTCCTGGCCACAGGCCTCATTACACTGGCCGATTCCCTCCTCTGCTTGAAGTTGGCATTTTAGAGGCCTTCAGCTGACAACCACCAAAATAGGGATGCTGCTCCACGTAGGCCAGATCAGGGCTTCTGGGCAGCATCAGGTGAAAAGTGCCTGGTAGGGGCGCCTGGGTGGCTCAGTCATTAAGCGTCTGCCTTCCGCTCGGGTCATGATCCCAGGGTCCTGGGATGGAGCCCCGCATCGGGCTCCCTGCTCGGCGGGAAGCCTGCTTCTCCCTCTCCCACTCCCCCTGCTTGTGTTCCCTCTCTCGCTGTGTCTCTCTCTGTCAAATAAATAAATAGAATCTTAAAAAAAAGAAAGAAAGAAAGAAAAGTGCCTGGTAGATCCCTGAATGATTCCTACACGCCTTACCTAAAGGTGTCTCCCACACGGCTGGTCACTGTGCTTGAAATTCCACCAGCGAAGTAGCATCCTTTGGGACTACACATTGCTTTCTTGAGATACTCTTTTCCAAAGCTACCCTGGGAGAGTCACACATTAAAACTAGTACTGGTGCATGAATTGTTTACTGACCCGGGTACCTGAGAGTGAGGGAGAGCACAGAGGGCTGTCTAAGAGCAAGGGGGACGGCGGGTGGTGCAGACAGCTCGGGCAGGGACCTCTCCTAGTTTCAGGGCGCAGGCTGCCGGGATCGGAGTGAGGGTTGAAAAGAAGTTTAGGGGGAAAGGGACAGGTCATTCAAGCCCCCTAGGGCAGCACAAAGCAAGGCTGTAGCGGCCAAAGCAGGGTAGAGAACCTACCAGCAGAGAGTTTGGGGGGCACCTTCCCAGGGAGCTAGTCTCTGTCTCTTGCAGAGCGCAGGAATGGAAGTGGCTCCAGAAATGGCTGCCTGAAAAAACCCCCCGAAGATATTCCCCAATCCATCTGGCTGCTGAGGGGCACCCCAGCCCTCAGCCTGCACAGCCGCCCCAGTAGACATGCCTCGGTTCCCACTCCCAAGGACTCAACGCACAGGATGAAGTGGGGGGCGGGGGTAGGGGGAGGCAGTAGGGTCTGAATCCGCCTCGTAAGCTGTAGCCGGGTGCTCCAGCCCCTCCACGTTTGTTTTTGTTTTTTTTTTTTAAAGATTTTATTTATTTATTTGACAGAGAGAGACACAGCGAGAGAGGGAACACAAGCAGGGGGAGTGGGAGAGGGAGAAGCAGGCTTCCCGCGGAGCAGGGAGCCCGATGCGGGGCTCGATCCCAGGACCCCAGGATCATGACCTGAGCCGGAGGCAGACGCTTAACGACTGAACCACCCAGGCGCCCCCAGCCCCTCCACGTTTGTAACAACATGTATCCAACGCTTAATAAATGCCAGGAACCATTCTAAGGTTGATGTAGATAAACTCATTTAATCCTCAACACTAGGAGATCTATGTTTTTATACATAGGAAGTTTTACTATTCATCCCCATATTTCAGCTGAGGAAACGGAGGCACGGAGAGGTTAATCAAGAGCACAGAGTGACAGAGCACAGAGTGAAAGTTAAGAGTGGGGTGCAGGCCTAGGCCACCCCACACTGCAGAGTAGCACCCTTACCCACTGGGCACTCTGCCTCTTATACCCTCATGTCTACCAGGTGGCGCAGGGGAGAGGTAGGGGAAGCTATCAGTGTTCACCGACTCTGGGTCAGGCACTTGACAAACACTTGTGTGCTTCAATCTCAGAAGAACCCAGTGGAGATGAGCCATGATATTCACTATCCATGTGGGGAAGCAAGACCAGAGAAGTCTGGTCATCTGCCAAGGCCACACAGCCCAGGAAGTGGTGGAGCTGAAATCCAAACCTTGGTCTAAGCTCAGCCCGGCAGGCCTCTCCTCCCCAAATCCCTCTCCCCCTCCCCCCCAGCTAAAGAGCATGGAGACCAGAAGGGAAGGAAAAGGAAGAGGGGGGTGAGGAGGCTGGAGAGGGGCTTCAGAGGCAGTCCTTAGCCTAGCAGCTGCCTTACGTTCCCCAGGGTCCAGGAGAATGTCTGGACCTCCTCCACTTCTTGACGGACCTCAAGCAGCCATATCCCTGGAGATGGACCACCCTGATACTCCTGGAGCATTGGCTGGGCTTTTGGGGTCTGGAGCAAGGTCCTGTGGGGTCCCCCACCCTGCTGCGCACCAGGCACCAGGGCAGGATGGGGGCACTGATGATCCCCTGCGCAATCCAGCAGCACCTCCTGATCTGTGGACTTGGACAAAAGGGTATACAGCCCGGATGGGGGTACCTCACCTCCAGAGAATAAAGGTGCCAACCCAGACTGCAGGGTGGGCGAGGTCTGGAGCACATGGGGAGGGCAGGAGCTGGGACAGAAATCTGGCCTGAGGCCCCCTGGCTCCCCTCTGACCCAGGCTCCACCAGCCCCACAAAAGGGACAAGGCAGGAAGACAGCACAGTCCACGCTTGGGCTGGATGCCCCGTGGGGAAGGGAGCAGATCCATGGCAGAGAGGGCCCAGGGCTTCACTGGAGTAGGCGCCGCCTGTATACCATGGTCAGGAGCATGGCCAGGAGCACCCCAGCGGCAGCTGCCCCGAGCCATGGAGCCCAGAGGCTGGCCTGGACGGACTCCTCCTCCTCCAGGGGCTGTGGGGTGGCACGCGGCCCAGGATTACCCTCCAGCAGCTCGACGCTGGGGTCCTGGGCCACTTGGATCCGAATGGAATCCACCAACTGGTACTCGTTCTCCTCTGGGGCATTGTCAGGCCCCGCATCCAAGGACATGCTGTAGCTGAGGGCCAGGTCCACAGAGCAGCCCGAGAATGGCTCACTGTCCACCCGGGAGGTCAGCCTGCCCGGCTTGCTCAGCTCCGACTCGGAGCCCCAGACTGCTAGGAGGGGCAAAGACTCACCCCCGAGGGTGTGTTGCTCCTGATGGCGGGCACCGTGCTCGCGGACATCCTGTGCTCAGGCACCAGGCCCGCAAGCACTCTGGGTGGCGCTGTCCCAGCACGTACTGAGGTGATGGGCAGTTTGGACGGTGGCAGACTCGTGAGCACGTTCGTGGCCACTGCCTCTGAGGGTTTTGAGTGGGCAGGCAACTTGGAAGGCACTGTTCTGTCAAATGCTGAGTTGGCAGGCACCCCAGAGGGTGCTGTGCCGGTGGTCAGTGAGCTGGTAGACAGCCCTGCCCCGCCGGGGCAGACACCAGGCTCACCGGGGTCAGCAGCACCCCTTGCACAGGCCGGGCCCGTGGAAAAGGAGGAGGTGCCAGGAGGCGGAGCTGACACGGAGGGTGCAGGCCAACGGCTCGCCCTGGGGATGGAACGGGTCAAGGGCTGGAAGGAGCCAGTCGGAGACACAGGCCCACAGGGTGAGGTGAGGCTGGAGGCCACGCCTGCAGGTGGCAAAATAAAAAGGGAAACACACACCACAGGAGCGTTACCCTAAAATCACAGTCACCCTGGGATCAGGTGGCTGAAGAAGGGCCTCCGCACCCCAGCTCAAGTCCCTACTGCATCCAGGCCTCCCAACTTCCTACCCGGGGAGTCTCCACAGTCCCTTTGGTCACTGCACCCAGGCCCGAGGGTCCAACAGCCACAGGCACACCCTCGGTCCTATCTACCCTTAGTCCTTGACCTAAAGCCAAGTCTTTCCTCTCCTAAGAGTGAAATGGTCCCTCTCCCTAACAGCATCTAGGAGCTTGAAGATCATTCATTATCCTCTGCTCTTTCTTCTCCTGCCTGGGACACCCCCATTTCCTCCTGTGCCTGCTCCTTAGCTTGGTGAAATTCTGGATGCTCCTCCCTCCGCCGCCTTCCCCTCCCCGCCAGCAGGAGCGATCCTGGACCAGGCAGAAGAGCTCATAGCAGTCATAGGGCACCAGAGGCCCAGGCAGCCCCCAGTGTGCGCAAATCTCCTGGGAGGCCTACGGACTCAGGGGGAAAGGGGTGCAGGGACAAAGCCATCCCTGACACGAGGGCTTGAACTGGGGCAAGCAGGAGGGAGCAGGTGGTGAGAGTCCATAAAGGCTTTCCCCATGGAACTCTGAGAACACACATGCCAGGCCCTACACTGACAAAGGTCAGGAGTCATTCTGATGTGCCACCCCGCGCCCCCCAAATCTAACACACCGCAGAATCTTGTGGGACCTGTGTCCGTGCATATACTGAAATCTAAGTGCCCTTTGCCTCCCTGGTCCATAGCAGTGTTTCCTGAAAGGTGTTCTACAGTGAGCTGACATTGCAAAGTATAAATGGGTGCTGGGGGAAGAGTTCTGGGGTGACAGGAGTGTAGGGCACTAAAATGGCTTCTCTGAGCCTTTAACTGTTCATGTGCCTTGTGGCTGTCCCCGGGGCACCCAAAGCGGGGTAGGCCATAGTGTTCCATGGAACACAGTTTGGGAAATGACAGTGCAGAGAAATGCCAGCCTGGGAGGTCAGAGTGGACAGCTCTATATTCCTGAGGGGGGAGCGCTGAGATCTGGTGTGAGGGTCCAGGCTCTTACCTGATGAAAATCATACTTCCTCTGGAGGCTAAGTTTCAGTGATTCACTGGGAGCTAGAGCCCCATTTGGAGTAGGGCCGGGCCTAAGGGCTCCCCTGCCTGTAGGTGGCCCAGGCATTCTGCACTGTCCTCCAGGTCCTGGAGAACCCCTGCAGAGTCAGTCCTCTTGGTAGAGTCCAGAAGTAGCCCTAATCCTCTTCCCCTACCTGTATCCACACCCCCTGCAATGTGACTGTCAGTCCTCTCATCTAGGGATGGAGTCTGTTCTCCAACTCCTTGACTCTGCACTGGCCTCGTGACTTGCTTTGGCCCACAGAATGAGGCGGGAGGAACGCTGCCAGCTTTGAGCCTTTGCCCCAGGGGCCTGCCCTCTCAGAATTCTGCTCAGCAGTCATGGAACAGACTTGTCTGGTGAAGGATGGAGGACGCGCTGAAGAGAACCAAGGTGCCCCAGCCAACAGGCATAAGCAGAATGCACGTGTGTGTGGGCACCAGTGTGTACACAAGAGGGAATTCAGCCAAGATCTGAAGAACTACCCTGAACCAGCCCAAATTGCTAACCCACAGAATCATGAGCTAAAGAGTCATATTTTAAGCTACTAAATGTTGGAATCATTTGTTACATAGAAAATACGGATACACCCTCTAAGGAATTAGGTTGCTCCCTGAGGTAAACTCCTTTTATTCCCACCCTTGCCTCCTGTCCAAGGAAGCCAGAGGGGCAACTCTACTCTTCACCCTCACTGGGAGGTTGGAGAGGCCCTAGAACTCCAGATTCCACACACACCTGCTATGTGGGCACTGCCCAGTTCTGTGTCCTGCTCTTGGTGCCCACTGGAGGTCAGAGGGCTGAAGGCCGCCATGTCAGAGGAGGGCTCCAGGGGGCCGGATGGCCTCCTCAGGACAGCCCCAAAATGGGGCATCTGTGGAACTTTCTTTGAACTCTGCAAGAGGGAAAATATAAATGAGGCAGTTGCTTCTCCCAGGAGTGGGCATCTCCTACAGGTCTCAGCCCGTGCAACGGAGTACAGAAACCAAGGAAGCCCCTTGCCCTGGCTTTGGTCATTGCCAGACCCTCTGTCTATAGAAACCTACCTCACAGAAACACACACCATCTCATGGGGAGTCTCTATTCACCTGCCTTGCCCTATAAAAGTTCCCCTCCCTGAGGCTACTGCACAGACCCCTTTCTTGGGCTTCAAGTCCATGGTGTGGCATCTCCTGGAGACCCCACTGCCCACTCATCACATCCCAATAGAATCAGGCATTCTCCCCTCTGAACTCGATTTTACTGGCAATAATTACTCCAACCACCCCATTACCTCCTGTTTCCCCAGTATTCCTCCACTGGTCATTCCCTGGTCCCTTGATCTAGTTCACCATGTCATCACATGAACCACTGCAAAGACCACAAACCTGTGACCTCACAGCTGGGTGATAAGAGGGTTGAGGGCCACCACGGGGTGAAGCCCTGGTCAGCAGTCTGAAAGCTGGTTTGGAGCCTACCTCCACTGAGGGAGCCCTGAGGTTCTGAGCAGAGATTAGGCATGATTCATGGTGGGGACAGAGGAGAGCTTTTAGAAGCTGGGCAGACAGGAACACAAAAGCAGCGGCCCCAAAGTACATTGTGAGGACGCACCTCTTCCAGGGACTCTGGTGGCCGGGTGTCCTGGACAGGCATGGGGAAACTTGGCTCCTCCTCTCTGTAGCCGTTGTAGGGGGCACTGGGGGCCACAGCAGGTCTGGAGGGCTGTGGAATCTCAGCAGGAGCTAACTGTGGCCTCTGGACCCCTGGAGGACAAAGACAGAGTGATGTCAAGGGGGAATCAGGGGTGCTCCCAGTGACAGGAGAGGCCTGGGTGTTCCTGGACCCCCAGGCCAACAACTAGCAGCCCCCCATGGCTCCCAAAGCTGTCCTGATGTAGGATGTACTTAGAAGAAACAAGATTCACTGAGTGGGAGGCAGTAGCAGGCGGGAGAGAGGAGGTAGGGAGGGCAAGAACAAGAAGAGATAGAAAGAGTGGGGCGGGAGGGATGGGGGGAGCACCTCACAAGCCTCTCACCACCCAGACTGGGTCAGCAGTCACCACTTCTCTGTCCCCCAGCATTCTGGAACCCAGTGGCTTTCTCCTCCTCCTTGTGGGTGGCTGTCACCACCGACTGACCCTCAGAAAGAATGAAAGGAGGGAGGGAGGGAAAAAAGAAAGAAAGCAAACAGGAGGCTATTCTAAGGCTGTAAATCTGAGCAGGGTCTCAGGAGTTGTCTCTAGTCTGAAACATAAATAGGGCTGGCTTGAAGTTTCTTCCTGTTTTGACCACTGAGACCTGACCTCACCAGACCCCTCTGGGCACTTGGCCTGGCAGGGAGCATTGAGAGGGAGTTAAGGAGTAACTGGGCAGCAGCTGGGGTGGGGGACCGAGAAGCCTCCAGGGGAAGTTCGGGGGAGAGGAAGAGATGAGAGAAAGGAAGGAAGGAACCCATGAGGGAGAAAGAGGAGACAGTGAAGGGAGGAGAAGAGAAGAGAGGATTAGAGAGAAAAAGGTAAACTGAGGGAGAGACAGGAGGAAGTGAGAAAGAAGTGGGAAGCAAACAAAAATTAGAGGAAGCCCCATTTGCTGAGCACATGGGAGGTGTCCAGTCCCAGCTAAACACTCAACATGCCATCCACCATCCACCACAGTCCTACGATGCAGATGTCTGGCCATTAGTTCCATTTTACAGAGGAGAAGACTGGACTTCGCCAAAGGGACACGGCTAGCAAGAGGCTAAGCTGCGATCTATTGCCAGGGAGTCATGGGAGGGAGGGTAACAGAGAGAGGCAGGAGGTACAGGGGTGAGGGCACAGGCTGAATGGAGGCCAGGGGTTCCACGAGGAGGGCCAGGGCAGGAAGCTCACCAGGCAGGTTGCTCTGGTAGACGCAGGCCACTTCGTCAGCGAGATCCACCAGCTCACAGGCCCTCAGCGCCTTGATGAGGGATTCCACCCAGCCGATCCGCCGCCGAAGGCTGTTGAAGAGCTCCCAGAGGGTGCCCTGGTTCCCAGAGAGCTGGCAAGAGGCCCGCAGTCGGTCCTGGAAGACACAGCCAGCTGCCCTGATCAAGCCAGGTGGCCCTGGCCCATTCCCCACTCAGGAGGGGACAGCTGCAGAGAGAGGCTCCAAGTACCCACAAGAGCGAGGCAGCCATATGAAGCTCGGTCAGAGCCCAGGACAAGGCCAGTGTTTGGGCCCAAGTTTAAAGGCAGTTACCAGGAAATAGGCTCTTACTGTGTGCCAGGCCCTGTGCTCAGGATGCTGTGAGAATTATCTTATTTAATGCTTTTGTCCCTACTCTACTGGTGAGGAAACTGAGGCTTAGCAGAAATAAGGTAACAAAGATCCTACAGGCAGATCCCAGTTAGTCCATCACCAAAGCCTGGGGTTTGGTTAGGGAGCCCTGAAGGTAAAAAGAAAAGGTCTGGATTAGCAGAAGAGGAAAGGGTATGCAGGGAACATACGACAAAAAGGAGGCAAAAGGGACAGAGAGAGGAAGCCAAGTCGAAGCATTAGGAAGATGGGGTGCTGGGAGATTCTGATAAGGAATCTGAGGGCGGCAGAGGTTTCATATGCACCAAATTCCCACATACAGATGGGCAACCAGACAGCAGAAACGAAAACCCACAGGAAACATTTCCTGCAGAACTAGTCACAAGGCTTTAAAAAAAAAAAAAAAAAAAAGGGGGGCGCCTGGGTGGCTCAGATGGTTAAGCGTCTGCCTTCGGCTCAGGTCATGATCCCGGAGTCCTGGGATCAAGTCCCGCATCGGGCTCCCCGCTCTGCGGGAAGTCTGCTTCTCCCTCTGCCTCTCTCTCTCTCATGAATAAGTAAATAAAATCTTTTAAAAAAAAAAAAAAAAAAAAAAGAACTAGTCACAAGGCATCCCCACAAGCCCCCAAATACAAGGGAGGGGGGCTGGATCCCGTCAGCCACGGGCCTGCGCCACTGGGAGCAGCCAAAACTGGGAGGCGGCCAGCCCTTCACCTGGGGCCACAACCAGGTCTGAGAGGCTAGGGCGGTCTGGCTCCCGCGAACTCTCAAAACTGAGCCCTGGGCTCCCTGTCAGGACAGGGTCCCATGACAAGGTGAGGGGAGTCCACACTGAGCAGGAACAATGACAAGAGAGATGAAGTAAAGGAAGGTCCCGGTGGGAGCACCTGAGGGGACCAAAGCCCAGAAATCTCAGGCAGCCAGCACCCTATTTTTTTTTAGCATTACACTGTATGGACGCAAGAGGGAGCTCAGCCACGTGGCCAGCCTGAACCACACTTTGTTCTGCAGGTTAGAGAAGCGTCAAGGTCAAGAAGCAGGATGCAGATGATGGACAAGGAAGGAGCTGGCCCTGGCTTTGGGGCGAAGCCCTGAGCCCCACGGCCCCGTCCCGAGTCAGCGGCGGGCTGTCACGCCCCAGCTCACCTGGTCACTTGTGGTGAGGCAGGACAGGTAAGGCAGGATCTCGGGAACATGAACGCGGTCAACAAAATTGCTGTAATGGTGGCGGATATACTCGTACGTCTTATCCTCGGCAAACGTCATCGCTGTCCAGGTTCCGAAGTGACAGAAGCCTCTGGCCCATAAAAGGACAGACGGAGAGGGAAAAAAAGACTGGAAGAAAACACACCACATAGGGCAGCAGAGTTGGGACTGGGGTCGGACAAAAGGCAATGACCCCTGTCTTTCTCAACTCTCTGGAATGTTTGCTTCTTTCTTTAATCGTCCAATTTTATTACTGCCTGAGTCCCAGAGGCCTTCAATAAATTTGCTTAAAAATGGATTGATGACCAAAAGAAATCAGATTCAGATCTAGGCCCCATTTCTGCCCTGCAGGTTGGTCAGCGTTGGGGAGGGTTCTGACTCCGTCATATGTGTCCCTAGCCGCTGATAGCAAGAGGGCTCCACCAAGAAGCGCTGCTTCTTTGGTGTACTAGGAAAACAAAAAACGCAAAATAATAACAGGCTCATCCCATTTTAAAGGTGAAGAAAATGAAGTACCAAGAAATTAAGGGGCTTGCTAGTTAGTGGAAGAGCAAAGAACAGAGGTCTTCAGGATCCAGGGTCAGGTTCTTTCCAGAATATGACTGTAAGCCCACCATTAAAGCTTGCCACGTACATGTTCTTAGGGTAGGAGGCTGGTTCCACTCACTGTGTGATCTGGGACAAATTACCAGTCTTTTACAGGTTTCTCTTCACCCCTAAAATGGCTTAGAGAGCTTGTTTTGACAATACAATAGTTCAAGTGCCTCAATTACTAGCGATTGCTACTAGTTGCTTAGGTATCACTTACCACAACTTGCAATTATAGATGGGGTTGTCTGCGAGTTTCTTACCTGCCTCCCCCCTCAGGGAGAGCTGCAGGGAATAAGAGGGACAAGATTTCTGCCATCATCCAATTTATATTCTATTGGGGTGGGACAGATAACAAATCAGTAAACATTTACATAAATAGGAATTCCAGATAGTAATCAAGGCTATAAATAAAGCAGGGTAATGAGACAGAACCCCTGGAGGTGATCAGGGAAGTATTTCTGAGTTGGTGACATTTGAGCTGAGGCATTCTGGGCTGTGACAAGATTAGCGTTTTGGGTGGGGGGAGGGGCACAGCAAATTAGAAGTCCTAAATTGGAAATGAGCCTGGCATGTTTGAAAGCACGGGGTGTCTGGATGGCTCAGTTGGTTAAGTGACTGCCTTCGGCTCAGGTCATGATCCCAGCGTCCTGGGATCAAGCCCCGCATTGGGCTCCCTACTCAGTGGGGAGCCTGCTTCTCCCTCTCCCACTCCCCCTGCTTGTGTTCCCTCTCTTGCTGTCTCTGTCAATTAAATAAATAAATAAAATCTTAAAAAAAAAAAAAAAAGAACAGAAAGCAGGTCTGGGTGGTCCAGGTTAAGAAAGCTGGGGGGAGGGTCAGAGATCAAGGTCAAGGAGGTTAGGAGGGGTGGCTCATGTGGGGTGTTGCAGGAAAGGACTTTGGGGGTTTTTTTTGTTTTGTTTTGGGAGGTTTTTTGGAGTGAAATGGGAAGCCATCAAGGGGGTTCTGAGCAGGGAAGGGAAAGGATTTGACTTACGTTAAAGACCTCCCTGGTAGTTGTGAGGACCTGGACTGTGGAGGGGCCAGGATGGAAGCAGGGAGACAAATCAGGAGGCTAAAGGAAGGGGCCGCAGGATGGGTATGGCCAGAATGCTGCCCATGGAGGTGGTGAGAGGTGGTTGGATTCCTGGTGTGCCGTTGATGTGGGAAGTGAGGAAGAGAGAAGAATCAAGGATGATTCCTCAGGTGCTGGGTGGATGGATGGTGCCATTTAGGCAGGCCAGAGAATCTGGTGGAGAAGCTGTGGCACAGAGAGGACTCCAAAGCTCCATTTTGAACAAGTGAAGCTTGAGACACTATGATATGTCCAAGTGGGTTTTGTGGGAAGAAAGTGGTTGGAAGACAGAGGGCCAGGCGGGAGCAAAAATGTAGGTGCCTAGCTTGGGTGGGACTCTAGGAGACAATGCTGCAGAGCCTCATAGCTTCATGTTGCATTCCTTGCTTTGCTAGCCACCAGGTGCCACATTCCTGCTGGGGCAAGTGTTGATGACAGAGATCAAGAGGATCAAGGAGATGGGGGGAGGAGTCCTCTGAGCCTTCAGGAGATGAGTGAAGAACAACTCTAAGGTGGTTAAATGACCCTTTTCTCCTTCTCTTCCATGGCATCCAGGGAGGTACCAGGAGAGAGTCAGGTAATACATTCTTCTGCATCTGAGCCTCAGCCCTTAGGCATAAGAGTTTGGGGAGTATGGGGACACCTGGGTGGCTCAGTCAGTTAAGCGTCTGCCTTCAGCTCAGGTCATGATCCCAGGGTCCTGGGATCGAATCCCAAATTGTCTCCTTGCTCAGCGGGTTTTCCCTCTGCCTGCCGCTCCCGCTGATTGTGCTCTCTCTCTCTCTGACAAATAAATAAAATCTTTAAAAAAGGGCGGGGGGGGACTTGGGGAGTATGGAAGTATAACATGCTCCAACCAAAAAGAAAGGAAGCCCGTATTTGTTCACATTTATTCACGGTCCATTATAGGCAGCCACATCCTCAGTTTCTTTCATTTAGGAGAGGAGAAATAATGCCAGGTTGCGCAAGCCAACCAGTGGCCCTGACAGGATTTGAACCCAGGACTTGCTGCCTCATTGCAGCTCACCATATAACACCTTGCAGAACATAGGGCTGCTGCAGCAAATGACACTCACAGCCCCAGAGGGACCAAGGCCACGGCTTGGGTGAGGGGAGTCGCTGGATGAGGGTGTTCCTGGGAGGCTGAAACAGTTGAACGGACTGTAAATCGTTCAGACAGGCTGAGTGCATTCCCTCTGGCAGTCGCGGTTCTCAGATCGTGACTGTCCTTCCAGAAGTTTGTGAGACTCCACAGCATCCATAGGAGAACGTCGTTTTTTGTTTTTTGTTTGTTGTTTTTTTCAATGTTTTCCTAGCACCTCCTTCCGGTCTCAGAGAAGGGCGGACCGACGCTGCGAGGCGAGCTGTCTACCCGAATGCCCCGGAGGCTCTGAGCGCGTCCCGGAAAGAAAGAACCGCCCGGCCGAGAGGGGCGAGGTCTCACTAATTTGGCTCCGATTCCTGGGTGGGACCGGGACCAGGCCCGCGGAGGAAGGGAGGCTGTTCTCAGCAGATGTCACCACCGAGAACTGTCAAGGCCCCGGGAAGGACGGCGGCCCTGGACTCTAGGCGCGGCCGCGGCTCCGGGAGGTTGGCGCACCGCGGCTAGGCCTCGCCCCGGGGTCACCCTCGGCCTGCGGTGGGCTGGAGGAGCTCAGCAGCCGGCACCTGTCTCCTTCCCGCCCAATCTCCCCTCCAGCCCGAGCGGACGCCCCGCGCCACCCCCGGAAGCCCTCGCTGCAGCGAACTGCGCGTGCTTTAGGACACGCTCTTCCCCAGCCCCGCGCAGCCAGTCCCGTCCCCGGACCCCCGTGCGCCCCGGCGGACTCCGAGTCCCACTCGGCTCTTGCCGCCGCTGGCCACCTCCCCGAAGGGAGCCGACGGGACAGAGCGCCCGGGACGGCTAACTTACCTCGGGTAGCCACCACCCCGCGACCTGCCGACCTCCGTGGACACTCAGGAGCCCTCCCCCACAGGGAGGGGGGCGCGGCGGGGAGGGGCGGGACCGCGCGGCCATTGGCCAGACGGCGGGGGGTGGGGCTTCGAGGCCCTCCGGAGCCTGGGCAGCGGGGGCGGGCGCTTGGCCTTGGCTCAGGGGCCTGGACACGCTGGACCGGCGCTCCGGGACCGACCTAAGGTTCCTACTGGGGCACAGAGGATCAGATTATTTTCTTTCCTTGTTTGTCTCGAGCAACGTCCAGGGGAAATCCAGAATCTGGCTAGAATCCAAGCCTCGGAGTCAGTGGTCGGCTGGGTCCCCATGCTTCCTACGCGAAGCAATCACTCCTCCCGCCGAGTAATTTGAGGGGGGAGGGTCTTTACGTCGTTTGTACCTGGGTTACCCAGGGCCTGGGACACAGTGAGTGCTCGATAAATATCGGGTGACACGCGAAGTTCACACGGGCGACGCCTAGGGAAGCAGGATCGAGGTGGGAGGAGGCTGGGGAGGTGAGAGCTGGGCAGGGGCGCGACGGTCCTGGATGTGGGGGGTTTTGTTGTTGTTGTTGTTTTGTTGTTGTTGTTGCTTTAAGATTTTACTTATTTATTTGACAGAGAGAGACACAGCGAGAGAGGGAACACAAGCAGGGGAAGTGGGACAGGGAGAAGCAGACTCCCTGCAGAGCAGGGAGCCCTACGCTGGGCTCTGATCCCAGGACGCAGGAGATCATGACCTGAGCCAAAGGCAGACGCCCAAGGACTGAGCCACCCAGGCGCCCCCTGGGTGTGGGTCTTGAGTGCTGTGTGGGAAAGGCTTCTCTGCCCAAGGGTCTGGGGTAGGCACCTTCCCACACTGCTTGCCAACTGCCTGGCCCTTCCTCTGCTTGGGGCAGAAACCAGCAACTATTGAGCCCCCACTGTGTTCAGGTACAGGCTTAAAGTCATATAGATTAGAGCCCACTAAATACTCTCACAATAACCACGTCGAGGTTTATTTTTCCTGGTTTTAAGAGAGATTAAAAGAATCAGAAAATGGCAGTTCTTACTAAACTGGTGGTGTGGAGTGTGGTGACTGGCTTCCAAATGCAGTTATCACCCTTGTCTCTACCCTTGTATTAAAAAAAAAAAAATGCATCTTCCTCAAAAATACAATGAGATACTATCTTAGTCCATTTGGGCTGCTATAACCAAAAAACCATACACTGGGAGGCTCAGACAACAAGCACTTACTTCTAGTTCTGGAAGCTGGGAAGTCCAAGATCAAGGTGCCAGCAGATTTGGTGTCTCATAGGGGCTCACTTGCTGCTTCAGAGACACAGTCTTCTTGCTGTGATCTCACGTGGTGGAAGGAGCAAGGGAGCTCTCTGGGGTCTCTTTTAAAAGAGCACTAATTCTATTCATGAGCGCTAAACCCTTATGACCCAAATCACCTCCCAAAGATACCACCCCCAAATACCATCACATTGGGGATTGGGTTTCAAACTATGTATGGGGGGGGACATAAACATTTGGTCTATAGCAGATATAAACCTTTAGGATGGCTATTATAAAACCAACAAACAAGAAAATAACGAGCGTTGGCAAGGATGTGGAGAAACTGGAATCCGTGTATGTTACTTGTACATTCCCCAACTGAAACTCTCTACCCATTAAACACTAACTCTCAGGGCGCCTGCGTGGCTCAGTTGGTTGAGTGTCTGCCTTTGGCTCGGGTCGTGGTCTTGGGGTCCTGGGATCGAGCTCCGCCTGGGGTCTCCCCTGCTCGGCTGGGAGTCTGCTTCTCCCTCTGCCTCTGCCTATCGCTCCCTCTGCTTGTGCTCTCTCTGTCCCTCTCTTTCTCTCTCTCAAATAAATAAATAAAATCTAAACAAAAACAAAAACAAAACCCAAATGTGGGACATTCAACAGGTGTCTAGTTCAATACAGTAGCCACTTTGCACGGTGGCCATTTCCCACAAATTAAATACCATGTAAAACTCAGTTCCTCAGCCCCACGAGCCACGTTTCAAATGCTATTTTTATATGGCTAATGGCTGCCATAGTGTACAGCACAGATACTGTGCATTTCTATCACTGCAGAAAATTCTATTGGAGAGTTTTTTAAAAAGGTACACTGGACAGCACTGATTTACAGAATAACTCTCCAAAAATGTCAAGGAAAGACTGAGGAACTATTCCGGATTAAACCAGAATAAAGAGATAGAACAACTGAAAGCAATGGGAGATCCTGAATTGGACCCTGAAAACAAAAAAAGGACACTGGTGAGACAAATGAGGAAATCCTACTAAGAGTTTGGATTAATTACTAATACTCCATCTGTGTTAATTTTCTGGGTTTGATCATTGTACTATGGTTATGTAAGATGTAAACATTTTATTATTTTGCAACTGTTTTGTAAGTCTGAAATTATTTCAAAATGAAAATTTTTAAAGTAAATTAAATGTAAAATCATCCCTATCTGGCTATTTATATTAATTTACCTTTTACTGTTGACTGCATTCCACCCTATTTCATGAGTAGAGTTCATTTTGGGGGCTTTTGAAGTTTTTATTTAAATTCCATTTAGTTAACATACAGTGTTATATTAGTTTCAAGTGTACAATATAGTGATTCAGCACTTTCTTTTTTTTTTTTCTTAAAGATTTTATTTATTTTTCAACAGAGAGAGAGACAGTGAGAGAGGGAACACAAGCAGGGGTAGTGGGAGAGGGAGAAGCAGGCTTCCCGCGAAGCAGGGAGCCTGATGTGGGACTCGATCCCGGGACCCTGGGATCATGACCTGAGCCGAAGGCAGACGCTTAACGACTGAGCCACCCAGGCGCCCGATTCAGCACTTTCATACGTCAGCCAGGGCTCATCACAACAAGTGCACTCCCTAATCCCTATCACTTGTTTCACCCATCTCCCACCCACCTCCTCTCTGGTAACCATCAGTTTGTACCCTATAGTTAAGAGTCTGTTTCTAGATTTGTCTCTATCTCTCTGTGAGTAGGGTTTATTGATTGCTGTCCAATTATTAGTGGAAGGGCAAGAGAGTGATTTATATCCCAGGTGCACACCCCCACCCCTCCAGTGAGGGCCTGTGGAGGTCCCCCTCCATTTTAAAGCTCATAACCAAACAGATGGCCCAAGTCCCCTAGCCAGTGCTACTCTAGGAGGGCTATAGCTCTTATGTATCGACTCTGCGGCCACCAGCTCACGTTTCCCCCCAGAGAGCAGAGTCAGGCCCAAAGAATAGTGACAGATGGCCCCAAAGGCCCCAAAAAGGGAAATGTTCTCATGTCTGAGTCCCTTCAGGGAACTCTCCAAGACTGAAAAACAAAATATAAGCCCTGCCTTTACAACCTTGTTTCAGATAAGTTTTTAAACTGCTATTATTTAAACTATTTTATTTTTCACACTGCCAATTTCATTACAAAAAAATTAATATATTTTCAGTAAAGCTGAGGAAAAATTATATGCTTATATAGTTAATATGGGGAAAACCAGAAATGCTTGATGAAGAAAACGAAAATCTGTACTCCTAAGGCTACCTCTCAAGAGAAACTGCTAGTGATACTCCAGTGTCGTCTTTTCTTTTTTTTTTAAGATTGATTTATTTATCAGAAAGAGAGAGACATGAGAGGCTGGGGGGGGGGGAAGGGCAGAGGGAGAAAAAGAATCCCAAGCAGACTCCCTGCTGAGCGCAGAGCCCACAGGGGGCTGGACCCCATGACCCTGAAATCACCACCAGAGCAGAAATCAAGAGTTGGATGCTTAACTGACTGAACCACCCAGGCGCCCCACTCCAGTGTCTTCTAGTATTTCCTTTCCTGCAATACAGGGCCTCTGAGTCCTCCGGCTTCCAGGAGTTATACTTGACCAGCCACTTGAGATCTCTGGACATGACAGGGTCTGGTATAAGCTCACCTTACCTTTCAGTGGTCTCAGGAGAAGAGGGCGTGGCCCGTGTCAGCTTGTGGGTCAGTTCCTGCTGCAGGTGGCTTCTCCGGGGCTCAGTCCCTGTGGTCAGTCAGCATGGCCCTTCATCAGCCTCAGGCCATTGTTTGCTGGGCACCTGCCACTCAGGCACTGCTCTCCTGCCCGTCCTTCCCGAGAACCACTGACGGAAGTTGCTTGGCAACAGACATTTACCTGAAATTTGTGGGAAAACAAGCAAATGAGTGCATGGGCAGGATGTGGCTTCCAAGCTACCAGAGTTCCTAAAATTCACAGACCTCCCCCAATACAGGAGCCGTCCCTTGATCACATCCCTCCATGGCCCCAGCTTTCTGCCACACTGCTGCTGCCGTGCTTGCTTTCAGACCCTCTTGATGTCTCTTGTCCTAGGGCCCCTCCCCTAGGATCTGGAACCAGTGCAGAAAACAGAACAACTGTAGTTATGTTGCGCAAGAAAGGGCTTTGTTTCTTGAAGCATAATTCTGTGAAATGTATCAATCTTAAGTGTGCCACTTGATTTTTACCTAAGTAAACACCTGTGTAACCAGCACCTGGATCAAAATCTGGAATATTTCTGTCTCTCCAGAAAGTTCCCTTGCACCTCTTTATCGATCTTAACCCCAATTCATTATTCTTATTCCAACATCATAGTTTAGTTTTTGCCTGTTCCTGAATTTAATATAAACGAAATCAAATAATACATGCTGTTTTGTGTCTAGCATCTTTCACCCAGCTTTTTTTTTTTTTTTTTTTT